ATGAACTAAAAAGATTTATTGTTTCCGATATTTTAATGAGTTTAATTCCTAAGGTTATTGGACCAAAAATAAAAGCATAGAAACACCATATTTTAAAGATGTTATACCCCGTAACTGATTTATCTTTAACGCTACAAATTTACATTTTTCTCCAATGGCTCATTAATAAGAATTCAAGAAGTTAGATATTAATAATAAGAAATAAATTTCTTTCGAATGTATGCACCAAATACTCAATTTATTAGAACTAAATGAGCGAGATTTGGTATTAAGTGTTGTAAACTATGTGATTCTAAAACGAGATACATACACAATTTTAAAATATACGTAGGAAAAGATAAAACTAATGCTAGATCTGCTAGCAGAAATGTTGTTATAAATTTATTAAAAAAGATTAGACTATTACACAAAAAATATTGTTTATTTATTGATAATTACTACAGTTAACCGACTTTACATGAGGAATTATTTAATACGCAAACAAACGTACAAGGAACAGCGAGATTGAATAGGAAAGAAATGCCTCGGGAACTAAAATTACTCGAATTAGAAAAGGGAGAAGCTGTTGTATTTTCTACGATATGGCGGTCATAAAGTGGCAAAATAAGAAAGATGTTGTTTTATTAACAACTATGCATAACTTAGATTTTGTCCAAACGGACGAACTATTTCACCTACACCTACAAACGAGACCCCACTATAACTATAACCCCACACTATTACACTCCTACCACCGTGTTTCACTGTCGGTCTTAAATTTGCAAAAGAATATTTTTACAAAGACAACTGGTGGTGGAATGATGTAATATTTTCAGATGAAAGCAAATTTAATCTTTACGGATCCGACAGACAAAAAATAGTGTGGCGTAAAGTAAATACAGAATTAAACATTTCAAATTTAAGACCGACAGTGAAACACGGTTGTAGAAGTCTAATTAATAACGTGGGGTTATATCTCGTCTGAAGGTGTAGGTTAACTAGTTTTTATCGATGGTATTATGGAAAAAATTAAGTATTTGGACATTTAAAAAAAATTTAATTACAAGTGCTATAAATATAGATGTACGTACAGTTTTAAATTTTATCAGGACAATGATCCTAAACACAAGGCCAGAATTGTATAGGAATATTTATTATACAATTGTCCAAAAGTACTGCAGCCTCCACCTCAGTCGCCTGATTTAAATCCAATTGATAATTTATAGGATCAATCGGACTGCAAAATTCATACAACACCTACAAAGACAACAACAGAGATAAAACGTTTGTTAGACGAATGGAAACGGATTTCGCCGGATTATTTAAATAAAATCGTCTGTAACATGCCCAAGCGATTACATGAAGTAGTAAAACAAAAGGTCAACCGACAACATATTAATATTATGATAACATGATTAAAAAGTTTTATATTTTATATAAAATTAATGTAATTCATTCACTGTCCGAATATTTTTGCGACGTTAAATTTTGTCACAATTTTGTTTATTGATTATTACACAAAATTACACAATAAATAAACAAAATTTATGTTTCTAACTACTATAAGAAGTGCTTTATTATATGAGAAAACAATTGATTCAATAATACTATCATAAACAATAAAAAGGAGCAATAATTCTTCTAACAATATCGTGTCCGAATATTAATGCTAGTCACTGTATACAACATATTAAACGTCATGGAACACCGACAACGTTCCCCGTAAAGTGAGACCTAGAAAAACTGATCAAAGAACCGACCGTAAGATACATCGATTATGCAAATCTGACAGATTCAAAACTGCTATTGCTATTCACAGTGAAATATTACCTAATCTCCAGGAAAAAATAGCTGTCAGAACTGTCCAGCGAAAACTGAATGAGTTTGAACTATATGGACGCGTTGCCAGAAAAAAAACGCTTATATTAGAAAAATATTATCGAGCTCGAATCGTATTCGCAAGGGAACATTTAAATTGGACTATTCAGCAATGGTCCAGAGTAATTTTTACTACAATACTAGATGTGCAAAACTTATCGAATCCATGCCGCGAAGATATGCTGCTGTTATTAAAAATAAAGGTCTATATACGAAATATTAATGTGCTACAATCTTCACCCAAAGAAACCTGTGAAAATACAGAAATTTCTGTATGTACTTAAATATGTGTCCGCAGAAAATTTGAGATCTACGCATAAAAATGCAAGAAACATTTTAATTGTAGTAAATTTTAAAAAAAACCATTTTGTCATTTTCTTATGTATATCGTAAACTTGTAAAAAGTATAATTGAATTTTGTATACTTGCTTCATGTATAAATGCATAATCAATAATATTTAATTTTATTAACTGTACGTAAGTATATGTCCGCCACTGTATGTTAATTCGGAAAGAAACACTTTTTAAATGCGATATTTGCGATGTAGCATTATGTAACGATCATTTTAAAAAAATACCATGTTAAATAAACTCTGAGAACCATACGAAAGTCATTTATTAGTGAAAATAATAAAATGGCCGATATATGGCCACGCGCGGTGATACGGGCCAACTGTCAGTTGAACGCCGCTAATGTCTACACACAGAAAGGGCCTAGCCGACTAAGATGGTTAAAATTTCCCTTAGTGGTTTTTAATGAGTATAATACCGTTCGATAACTCATAAAGAAAAACTCATCTGTGCAAAATTTCTATGCTGTAACTTGTCCGTGAGGGTAGTTACAGGGTAAATTAGATTGCGCGCTTTTCCATGCATTTCCCCCCTTCGGTGGCTTTTTAAAATTTTTTAAAACATGTGGCTTATTTTAGGCATCAAGCGGCATATTATAGAATTTTTTCAGATTTTTCGGTTGTAAGTTATGGTTATCACATATGGAAAACCAAAAAAGAAATCGAAAAATTGAAGATTTCTCGAAAACAAAAATAGGATCTTTTTTTATATTAATTCTCTAATAAAGTACTATCACAAGCAGTGCACTAAATTTTTCTCAGATTTTTCATTCGGTTGAGTCATTGTCAAAAAAAAAAATGAAAACCGAATTTGTCGACGTTTTTGCTGTGGGAAAGAAAGTTATTACTTGTTGGGTTTATTACAAGTATAGATTAAGTAATTTGGAACGTTATTACATTGAAACAAGCAATTTTTTAACCTAGAAAATGGGATTTAAGAGAAAGAAAAAATTGTGATGTGCACATTGCGATATATACCTAAATGTTCGTACATGTTTCAAGATCGTCGATTGGCGGAGTGAGTAAGCTGGGCGATTACGGAAATATACTACGCTGGGATTCGAATCCTGTTGTAGACAGAGTCTTTTCCTACATCACACTTCATTTTTCCAATTTCATATCACATGGTTTATTCGCATTACTTTAAAAATATTTTTTTAATGTTTTAAAAATATTTTGTTTAATTTTTGAAAAATATTGACAAGTCGGCAAAATATATTGAAAACGTAAAACGATATCTTAAAAAAGAGTTGGTTTCTAGGATGAAGACTTAAATATTTTAACGTAAATATTTTTAAAAAAAGTACTAAAAATAATATTTTTAAAACATTAAAAAGATATGGTGTAATAAATGTAATAAAGTTAAAAATTACTTAATCTACACTTGCGGTAAACCCAACAAGTAGTAACTTTCTTTCTCATAGCAAAAACATCGACTTTATCCAATACCACGAACAGTTGGATTATTTAATGACATGTTACACATCATTTCCCGTAGATTTTGACACGCTGATTTCATACCTAATTGCCAAATTTACCTACGGTTTTTGAAAAAAATCGATTTAAGTGGAAGAATTAACGAGAACCTACTAAGATAAATCTATCATTATTTCGACCACTGCATAAATAAATCTTGTGCATGAAACTGTTTTCTTCACAGATAACGGAAATATAAGCAAAGTTTAAAGTCTACTTGTTTTTAAATACTAAACCTTGAAAGACACGGAAGACTAAACGCTTCAAGGAAGTGTCCTAATTATCGAATTCCTCAAGGCTGGAAGTGAAGTGATCAGAGTGAAAGTACATTCGTATCGTAAGTCGCAAGGCATGTAGCATAAGGTGAAGTCCGTGTCCGGCGGCTCAACCAGTTTCAGTCGAGCGACGGTATTCCCACTGAACGGTACCAATGGAGTCGAATACTATCTTGCTTCCGAACGGACAGTGCATGCCTCTGCTGGGCTTCGGCACGTGGCAGGTAAAGTTCTTTGTTTCCATTCAAAATTCGAGGGTTCTTTTTATTTATATATTTTATTTTCTTATCTGGGGTTCGTATTCATCAAATATGCTATTTCGGAAGGAAACTTAAGTGTATCTCAAAAGTAACTGTGTTAAATAACGTATACAATTATTGACTCCTATACAGTAATTGACCTTTTTCTCAAAAAAGTGGAAAGAATATAATTCTATATATAATAAAATTAAACTATATTTTGATGAACATCTTCGTTACAAATATACTTTTATTTAATTACGATTCACACATTGTAAGTTGATTCAAAAATCCTAACACAACAGCCAATGATTTTTCTATGTTTTTACTTAATAAGATTTTTAACTAATATCTGTATATCACTTCCTTAATTAAGATAATTATCTTTATATATATAAAAAGTTGTAGAATCATTAATGAATATTATTATAATTTTTGCGTTTACTTTGTACTATATTAGAAAATATAAATTGCTAATAATATAATTAATATTTTAGCAATAATAACAAAAACAGGATTAAATTTTCATTTCGTCGATGTACCCGCCACAAAAAAAGAGTAAATAATATTATTATTATATGCAAAAATGTTTACATTAGTTTAAGAAAATGTGAAGATTGTGCATGACCAATACAATCATAGTATTGTCAGATAAGAAAACTTCGATAATCGACCGCACGCAATGTAACGTGATTGAAGTGCACAATGTAATTTTCGAAATTAGAAGATCACCTTCCTTTTTTTAACTGGAAAGTAATATTTTCCTCACTGTAGATCGAAAGAATATTAAAGGGTATAACCGGGTAAGAGGGTCGAAAATGCCCTTGAGTCGAATTAAAATCTACATTTATAACGACCGACATCAGACCTTCTTGGTTCAGTTCTTTCCTGACCTTCATGCTGTTATTATTGTCATCAAGGTGTTCACTTTTGGTAATTGTATTAAAATTAATATGAATATTCTGTTTGTGATATTTATCTTTTATGACGTTTTCATTCGTAATTATGTGCTTAATTTAATCTTTTGACATTCGAAAGTATTCATAAAAATTTTGAATTATGAACGATTAATTTTTTCGAAAACGGAAAGTTGTTTGTTGTTACACTCTGAGCTCTTTTTCTATACTGTATCCTAGAATATAGAATTTATACTAATCAGATGATATGAGATGAGAAGCAGGGGCTCGGCAGGAACAATGGCAGCAATCTCGTGTTTATATACGGATAAAGAACTTTATGTACAGAAGATGTAATTCTCGGATTAGTATCGGCCTGGAGACAGACTGTATAAATAGACCTTAATACATCGTCGCACTGTGTGGCGTTTATATAAGCGTTCGAAACAAAAATCATAACTTCTAAGCTAATGAATTTTCGCGCGAGCAACATGCTTTAATAATTTGCCAAAAAAAATACAAAGATGCATCGATTTGCATTTAAAAAATTCCTGACACCTTTATTTTTTATCGAATAAAAACTATTATTTTTACTTTAGACTTACTACAGACTTTTATTAGCACAATTTACTGATAACTAAATACTTATGTCCGAAAGATTTTTTCATTAGTTTTGTGTTAGTGCCTGAAAATTCGTAGCGATCGTTTCGCATATTTGGATTTGAGACCGGTTTTGGCTAAATATTTTGTTAAATAATTCGGAAGATCGTGACTTTTCTCAAAAGAAGTTTTTATAATATTAAAATGTTGCTATCTGACGAATATGACGGAATAAGAACCCCAGAATATATTTTAAGCCGATTTTTTTTTGAAACCTAATCTGAAGTGTAGACAAATAAATTGAATTTAATTATTTCACTTCGGGTCATTTCGGGTTATAGAGTAATTACAATTATGTAACGCCTGGCCATTACCTTCTACAAAGATTACTTGGCCACTATGTTGCGTTGTGAATTAACGTACTATTTGATCTTCCTAATATTCACTCGGAAAACTCATTTGAAATTAATCTGCTGCTCAATTCTTTTAACATTCTGTTGCTAAATATGATTATTTAGACATTTTAACACATCAATACACATAGTTTTAAATAGATATGAAGCGATGACTTCCTTTAATTTTTGTCCACTGACAGCCATATCGTGCGTCGATGCACCATTGAATAGGGCACCAAGAAAAAACATACTGTGTAAAATTTTACCCCTGGATTATTCCACGCCAAATCGATCACTTTTTTCTCTGAGTGTCTGGATTTTATTCAAACTGAAATATGATATAGTCAATGTGATATTATGGTGGATTTAAGTCATTAGTTTGTTAGTTTAGAAATTATTTAAAAAATACAATTCTCTGAAATTTACGATTTTTGCTCATTTTTGCTCATTTTTGCGAAAATGGATCGTACTTACAAATTTTTATCTTGAAAACTATTGATTGGTTCAACGAAGGAACGAATTGGAACAACGAAGTGCACCTTTTCGTTGAACTTGGAAAAGTTCATCCTTTCTAAATAAATTTTGATCTGATTAAAACGTTGATTCCACAACGTTGATAATTATAAACAAATTCTTATTGTTTAAATACGAGTTTGAGGTTGCGTTTTTAAAAAATCGAGGAAAATACTCTAGTATTCCTTAGACTTTTCTCTACAAAAATATGTGTTCCGAAGGATGATACGATGCATGTTAATGTCACAGTGAAGTGCCAAAGTTAGCGATACGCCGCTATGACAATCGGAAAACCAAAATATTGAGTCGGCAGGAAAGTAATTTCGATATTTCAATGTGAAATAAAATTCAATTTTTTCTATACAAGAAATGAACTTTACTCAGTCAAATATTTTCCACTCTGCTCGATGACCTTTTGCCATCTTTCTGATAACTTCATGATTCCACGCTCATAAAACTTCTGGTTCTTATCAGTAGAAAACCCAATCAAGTGCAATTTGTGGCTATCGTTATCATTGAAATTTTTACCATTTGATAAGTTTTGTAAACTTCGAAATAAATGATAATCCGATGGTGCAAGGTCAGGGCTATATGGAGGATGCAACATCACTTCCCAACCAAGCTCCAATATTTTTGCACGTGTTGCTCAAGATGTGTGAGACCTCGCATTGTCGTGGTGGAACACAATTCCTTTGCGATTTGCCAATTCTGGCAAATTGACAGCATGATCTTTTTCTGATACAATTCAGCTTTCGATATGGTTTGTGCTGGTTGTTCATCGTGCTTGGACCATGACCATTTTCGATTAATGTTATTATAAATGATCCATTTTTCATCACCAGTAATATTTCATCTCAAAAAAGGGTCGATTGGATTATATTTAAAATGCGTATCGCAAATATTGATTCGTAGTATTAAGTGAATTTTTTCCAATTCATGTGGAATCCAAACATCGAGCTTCTTAACAAGACCAAAACATCTTATGTGATATTCAATTGTTATGTGTGATGCATTTAACCTTTTTGCAATCTCTCGTACAGTTATATGATGATTCAATTCAATTATGGCCTTGATTTTGTCATCATCAACTTTAGAAGGAAGACCAGAACGTTGGTCATCTTTAAGTGAAAAATCTTCAGAATGAAATTTTTTGAACCAATTCTGACACGTGCGTTTTGTTAAGTAATTGACACCACAACTTCTCTTTGTGAGCCTCGGCCGCTTTCTTGCCTTTATGAAATTAAAGTTCATGTTCATTTTTGCACTCCATGATTAAAATTGACAGGAAACTATCAGTTGTAAACAAAACTACACGGAATTTGTTCCTATAGTAACCTAAACGTGTCAACTACCAAAGCTGAAGACAAAAAAATTGTAACCTTAACAAAAGAATGACAATACAAACAACGCTATCTATTGGTGCAAACCGAAATTACTTTCATCCCAACCCAATACTATTAACCCATATTACTAGAATGAAGTCTAAAATCATGATTAGCAAGGCTAACGTCATTACTAACATGTTCGTTCATTTAGTACCTGTGAAAAAGTGTCATTGTTCAATGGAAACCACAGGAAGGCGGTGGACTTATTCCATCGGGTAGGGCGAGAAGATTGATAAAAACGAAACCAGAAGGATGACAAGGATGGGGTTAGTTTAAATGTTGAGGTTAAGGGTTACGAGTATGGAAGTGGTGGAAATTATGATATTACGTCGAACTATGGAAGCTTCTAGAACCACTGATAGTTAATGCTGTTGCAAAGCGAGCTTGTGAGCTAGCAGTATAATTTTGCTGGTCGTCCTGATTTACGTAATCGAAAGAAATGTTTGTAGAGCATGCTTTGGCATGCAAATAAAGCTCCAGGTGTAAGAATTTGATTTTTTAATGATCGTTGTAAGCTTGTGCCTATTGCAATTCTTTCGACGGTTCCTCCAATTCCGACATATAGTCTTTTACCATGTGCCGTTGCAAAAAATGCTATTCAGCAATAAAACCAAAATCGCTAATGTGATGAGGACTAGATTTGTTTTAGTGGACAACAGATATAGTATCCATGTGTCGGTGATGCCTTGTGCAAGGCCGCATGTCCGCCGCGTAATGCCTGCAGGATTATTGTAAAAAAAGAAATCAGGCCAAGAGTAGGTTAGTAAATTTCTTCTACGGATATAAATAACACTATCCTGGTGGCTGTAAGCCTTGCTAATTATATTTTTAGACTTCATTGCAGTAATATGGGTTGATAGCGGTTCAGTTCTTCGACCGTCGTAACAGAGCGCGTCGCTCCGTCCATTCACCTGCGACGGGGACACATTCGCTACCTTCGGTACTTCACTGTGAATTTAATATGCGTCGCACCATTCTACAGAACATATATTTTTGTACAGAAAAGTCCAAAATAAGAATTTGTTTATAATTCTCAACGTTGTAGAAACAATTCTTTAATCACATCAAAATTTAGTTAAAAAGAATGATCCTTTCCGAGTACAATGGAAAAAAATGCATCTCAATACGAGCAATAGTTTCCGAGATCAAAATTCCTACGTTCCGCCCATTTTCACAAAAATGGGCAAAAATCGTGGACGTATACGTGAAAAATGAATACACAACAAAAATCGTTCGATCCATTTAATATTTATACAAAAAAAATGTAATTTTGTGTGGAAAAATGATAAGGCATTTTGAATATGAAATAACAAAAGCATTCAAATGAATTAAAGTTATATAGTTTAAGTTATGGTAATGTGAGGACTGTTGTAAAATTTATTCAAAGCTGTGTGAATAGCGCTATCTACTTAAAATTATTCAAGGAACAGATAGAGACTTACGCTCACAGAATTGCTGAGACAAAATATATATTTCAGAAAATCTTAATGGATAAGTCTCAATCGAACATTATATGAAGGTGGAAAAGTGTATAATGCAGTATCCGAATTAAAATTTGCAATTTTAGAAGCTCGAAAAAGCTTGGATCAAAAGTATATAAAGGATCTGTATAGAAGTTTACCAAGAAGAATAATCGAAATGATACATTGTAACGGACAGTCCACACATTGCTAAAACTTAAACATACTATATAATTTTATTTTATTTGAATGCTTTTATTATTTCATATTCAAAGTACCTTATATTATCCACGCAAAATTTCACACCTTTTGTATAAATAACAAAAGGATCCAACGATTCATTTAATTTCTTCATATATTACGTCAAAACTATTACTTTATTTTATTGTGTAAACTTTTTCCGCGTATATGTAACAAATATATGTCTTTATCTAACAATCTTAAGGTGTCTTATCAATCTATCCACCAGTATAGTGTTACAAGCCATGGACCAGGCAGCATTGCGTGGCCGAAGGTTTGATGCGCTTTTGGAATTTTGATAAGGGAATTGTGTGGACTAGCCAATGTTTATCTCATCACCGGGGCGCCACTATAGAGATAAATGTTTCGTGAACTAGCCGATGTCTATTTCATCATCGGGACATCACTAGGTATGGTAGGGTAGAGATTTAGAGTTTGGTTACCTCGTAACTTTTACAAAGAAATGAGATAATTGAATATGGTAACTTAATAGACTCGTAAAAGATAGTCTATTACAAGCTTTCAGTTTAATACAATTGTATGTTGTTAAGTGTATCGCGGATTCTTGATCGCACTCATAGTTTGTCGTACTGGGTAGGCGGGACCTTATAACCTTGAAATGATGTACGTACTCGGTTAAAATGCTCGAAAGAAAGTCAGATTCTATCTCGCTAAAGTTCCTTTGTCAGTAACTGACTTGAAAATAAGCCAAATTTTAGTCGCGTTTGGGCCCTTTATATACCCAAATTTTCTTGAAAAACAGTAGAGGAGATGTCCATATGTGCCCTGATCCCAGAAAATTCGTCATCGTATCCCTTCGAGGATACTTGACTCACAATACAGTAAAGTCTCCCTAATTGATGCTTAGATTGTGCACAAAATTGGACAATTTGGGAAGAAGAGATATGATTATTCGAGCCTTGCGGTTCGTTTTTATAATTATGAATTGTCAACAACTATAAAAACGAGCTGCAAGGCACGAATAATCGTATCTCCTCTTTCCAAATTGTCCATTTTCGTGCATAATGTGAGTGTCAATTAGGGAGACATTAGTGTATACGGAACAGAACCGGCCGGCCGATGCCAGTCGGCGCATGTTCCTAGAAAGGAGTAAGAAAAATACGTCGGAAATTCTCCATACGTTACAATAGCAAAATGATGACTTAAATCCACCCTAATATCACATAGACTACATCATATTTCACTTTAAATAAAATCCCCGACATCGAGGGAAAAAAATGATCGAGAGACTGGTCTGGAATAACCTCCCTATACCTTGATTGGGAGGGTAATTATGGGATAAAATCGAAAAATCAGTTTTTTGCCTGTTTTCCCTAGTTAATGATATTTAAAAATTCTGAGGAAAATCTGAGACATCCTAGGCGCCAAAACATAGAGTCCGTAATTTTCTTCAAATTTTTAAACTGAAAATCCTGTTCGTAAAAAATCAAAAACATCAAAAAAAAGTAGTGAAATGCAGATTTCACATGAAAGTGCTAGAGTGACAATGTTGAAGTTTTTACAGCAACGATATATTATTATAATTATTGTTCATGATTTTTTCAGATTTTTTAATTGGCTGCGTCGTAGCCAAAAAACGTAAAAAGTGATGTTTTCGACGTTTTTCCCGCGAAAAACTGAGCTAATCTTAAAATTGTTTAAAAAAGTATGTTTACCGAACATTGGACAAAAGATTATATTACTGATAAATTTCTGGACACATCATAGTCCACAAAATTGCTTATACCGCAGGAGTACAAGCAGAAATTCTACATGTATCTAAAAACACAACAGATTTAATACAATCGTTAAATGTATTAAAATATGGAAAACCTTTGCACACAGCTTTTCTGATTCCATCGTATCACATGATCATGAAATAAATTTTCACGAGCAGAATAATATAATAAAACTATAATCGTCAACGCACAATCAGTTTTCGTCTGCAGGATTTAGAATTGTATTCAAATACATATATTTGGTATAAAAGCAGCTACATAGGAGACCGTCCAGAAAACTTTGACAATTCGGTTGATTACTGTTATTTTAAAAAGGTATACACATTCCGACGTGCGTGGTGCAAAACATTTTTGGCCTTCAACATTTTTTTCAAAAGTATTGTTATTGTCACAATTACATAGAATAACTTATCGTTATTCATTATAAACAGGATTTGTTATTAAACATATTTAACATCTATATTCTTTGTTTTATTTCTATCTATTATTAATAACCTGTAAATTATAATTGCATCTTGGGCCAAATAATAAACGTCGCAGAAAAGTTAATTGCAAAAACTTTCAAATAATAATCTACGTCGAGAAGTTAACTGCTGCAGATAACTTCTCTGAGTGGACTATTAATTGACCATTTGTACAATAAAAAATATAAAATAGATTTGCACGAATTTTTCAAACAAACAGTCAATTTTGTTATTTAAAAAAAATGTCACAATAAGAGCTATTTACATTATTGTAAAGAGCTCTTGACAGGCTATTAAACCAAGTATATCTAAAAAATAAAATTTCAAAAAATCAAGGGGAATGGGGGTAAGTTATGGAAACAAATTTTCTGTTTCAATTACAGCCACATTATAGAGCACAACATACTTTGTATATAATCATTTTTTAATATCTTACACCATTTTGAATATACTGACGATAATAAGGAAATTCGTAACATTTTTGAGGGGCTGTTTTCACTCCAAGAACCGTTTTAGAACATACTTTGAAAATTATTTCATTTTTAGGATGACTTAAACTACATTTGTACAAAGTTGTAGATTTTATCGAATTTTCGATACCGATGTTCCCAGGTGAGATTCATTGATAGCCATAACAACTGTCTACCCTACTCATTGCAACAAGAAGTGAAATGAATAGCTTTTGTGATTATCAGTATATCTCAAACTTCTACTTTCAAAAAACAGGTTCTAACAATATAATGAACGAATGTGATTTTTTGGCAGCACAAACATATATTGCGCTTATCTGTCCATATCAGAACGATGATAATACCTTTACTTATTTAAAATTTGAAATTTATTTTAAAGTCCCCGACATCTTACACGCAATTGGCCCTCGTGTAATAAAATAAAAACCATAGAGAGCCAGATTATCAGCAAAACACCTAGTTACGTCCGTTCGCAAGTCACCCTAACGGGCCTTTCTACCAAGTAAAATCCCGTCTAGCGGTTATTTTCTAACCATCTTGGGCCCATCCGTAGTGGGCCGTCTTATACCCTCGTGAAATTTGTAGTGGGCAGTGATCACTTCGCCAAAAAGAGACACTGTCCAAAGAGAAGTTGTCTAATTAGACAAGTACGAGTCCTCCTGATGTACATTTCTCATATAAAAACGTGACACTGACCAAAACACGAAAATTCACAATTTGCTAGTCCTGATGACATAGTTGTCGACGTTTAGATAGTCAAGCAAGTTATTTGCACATAATATACGATATTATGTTGTTCCGATAACAAATACTCGCACAAAGTTAATTCAGCGTGTGTAAGTCACGATAGACTGAGGTACAACTTACTGAAGATCTCGCGACCCAACACTACTACGTACAGTACCGGACAAAAATAAGTTAAACCACGTACGAAAACAAGAACACGAAGACAAGACACGAAAATACGAGCCACGAAGCTCCTGGAAGAGCACAGGATTATGGACAAAAACACCTTTTTTTATTTCATTAAAAACATTATTAAATTACTAATTTGTATCATGCAAAGAAAATATGATTAAACTAAAAAATGTCTGAGAAGTCGAAATATATTTTTAGTGCATTAAATAAAAATTCTAGTATTTAATGAGAATTTCGGCAAAGCAAAAATTTATTTTTGGTGGTGGCTAAAGGTGACTGAGTTAAGAAGAAGGGAAAGGGAAACGTTTCGTCCGGAACCCGCTAGAGAACTTATCAGTAAGGCTGTACTAGCGGGCCCTTGCCTTAGATGTTGGGATGTCGATAGGACGGACGAAGTCTGTATACAGGGTGTTCCACAATTATTTTAACAGCCGGAAATGAGGGATAGCTAAGGTCATTTGAAGTAACCTTTTCCTTTGCGAAAATGTAATCCGCGGCTTCGTTTACGAGTTATTAACGAAAAACACTGACCAATGAGAGGCGAGTGCTTCGGCCGTGGAGCGATAGAAGGGTGATAGAAGATGGGGGGGGGGGGGG